ATATATGGTTAATATATAATGTATGTTATGGCTTGTGTCTAGTTGTCTTCCCAAAGCCTCATGCAGTCATGGGGTGGGGACTTCTAGAGTTTGAGATTAACTCATGATCTACTGGGATTATGGGTGCTCCAAGGTTGAGATTATGGGTCTGAGTGCTGCTGGAATTATGGGTGTGTTACTCCCAGCCTGAGGCCCATAGCCTGAATGTAACATGAGAGAGAGAGAGAGAGAGAGAGAGAGAGAGAGAGAGAGAGACAGAGAGAGAGAGACAGAGAGAGACAGAGAGACAGAGAGACAGAGAGAGAGACAGAGACAGAGACAGACAGACAGACAGACAGACTTCCCCTCTGTTGCCACTGTTGCTGCTACTCCTCCATTTGCTCTCTTGCTCTTTGCCGCCACCATGGAAGCTTGCTCTCTGCCATATGCCACTCTGTCTTGGAGCGAGCTGAGTATGGACTGAACCTCCCATTAACTAAATAAACCTTTCCTTCCTTCATTTTGAGTGTTGGGTATCTGTCCCAGCAACGAGAAGAGTAACTGAGACAATGTGTTATATATTAAAACCCACCTAAAACTTCAAGTAATAAATACTAACTATGGAGTTAAAGGGTTATATATTTATCCCCCATGTTTCACTTGTCTGACTCCAAATACTCTGCAAGCACAGTGGTGTCTGCTGTCCCAGAGTCTCTTCTCTGTCTTTCATCTGCCTCGTCCAATACTCCTGACCTGCTGCCTCAGACCTGTGTCTTTCTCAACTTTTCCCCTTCCGTGTCACAAACATCTTCAAGATCCAAATGTCTTACACATTTAAAAATTTGTTATAAGCATCATCAGTGAAGATTGTTCATGTAAGATAAACTCAAATGAAGCACTTCTGGCAATTTTGGGTTTCCATATTTTAAACATGAGAGAGAGACATAAGCAAAATAATTTCAAGAGATTGTGCTGTTCTAGAAGATCCATTAATTTCTTCATCAGTGCTACGTTTTTGGAATTACTGATCTATTTATCCTTTAGCATTTAATGAAGTTATTTTTAGTTCACTTGAAATTGTAATAGTTTTTGAAGGCCCTAGAGGAGAAAAGTAACATCACTGACCCACAGTGGTTAGAAAATACTGTATGGACCACTGATTCATTGCTTTTTTTGGTTGGGAGGAAGAATTTCATCGTTTTCCTCTAGGTGATTAGCACCGCAAGCACTGATTATCAGGGTTAGCGCCCTTTCCTAATTAAAATACGGTTGCCCAACAAATGCAATGTTTTGTGTCCACTCTTTTCAAGTGGACATTTACTATTTGCAAATGGATGTCTTCCTCCAAATACGGCTCAAATGTGCAACAAAACTTGTGAGTTCATCATTATCATATATAGACTGTTTTGGTTGGTTTCACAACTTAAAGATTGAATTCTCATTAGTTTTATTATAATTATAGGCCACCTAGGATTTTTATCTCTTGTTGATGGATTACTAGAAAGGGAATCCATGTAGTTATTCCTTTTAAGAATTTTACTTTTAAATGGAGTATCTTGCAATACACTATCAAACCCCAACTTCATCTGGTGATTGTGCATGACAAACTGAATAATGTTACATGTTTGCTATATGTGGTTGCTAAGTGACTCCTGAGGTTTGTAGTCTTTCATCTTCTTAAAACAACATCACTTTCTTCTCTTCTCACATGGTTTATTTATAGTTCTTTGCATTCTTGTTTCCTGATTACGAGACAGAAATAAATCTTTGCAGACATCTAACAAAAAAAACCACACCATTAAGCTTTTCCCTTTCCACTTTCTAAAGTAATTAAGATTCAAACATACTGTAGTAGATAATTTTTAAATTAGTCTTTAACTGTTCCCAGTCCTTTTTTTTTTTTTTTTAATGCTCATTTCTTACTAAGGAATTTTTCAAATGTGGGACTTTTTTTGTTTGTATAATTTTTGGAAACCCTGCTATAATTTTGTACAATTATTTTGTCTTTTTTTTTTATCCTGAATGTGGAAACATTCTATTTTGGTTATTTCCCTGGACTCTATGTCTTAAAAATTCACTCATGCAGCCCTATAGCCTGCAATTCTAACTTAGTATAGTGTCATCACATCTTATCTACGTGTCTCAAAGATGATAACCCAGATTGTTTCTAATGCCCCATATAATAAACAGCTCCTTATAGACCTCAGTGAGAATTTCTTTGTGTTGTATAGCCAAGAAATGAATCACTAAGTTTTGGGCTATATTAACAAGCCCTGGTAAGGAATTCTCCTGAATACTCCATCAAATTTACATTTCTACCAGCATTGCACCAAGCTTCCCAAATATCCATATTCTGTCAACATTTACTATTATTTCATTTCATTTTTGTTGTTAAGTCAAGTATAAAAAGATAACTTATGGTTTCAATATGACTTTCTCTGATCTTTTAAAGTATACTTTGTAGGTATACTTTAAGAAATTCTTGTTATAAAATGATGGGTCATATTCTTTACCTATTTATCTTATTGAGGTTTGGTTATGTTCTTATTGACATCTAAGGGTTCCTTGTATGTTATAGATTATTTTTTCCCTGTCTGTTTTCACTCATAACAAATGTATTCTTTCAACCTATCATTTGTTAATATTAAATTTGTTCATGGTGCCCTTGTTAAACAGAAAGCTTGACTTAAATACTACAGCTCAGTGATTTCATATTTTCTTTTTGCTGTCTACTGCCCCTTTTATCAGATATTTACTTCCTATTTATAGGATTCTTAGTTATTTTTCTTGCTGCTGAGACAAACACCAAATGCCTAAAGTTAAAGGGGGAAAGGGCTTATTTAGCCCACAGTTGTAGAGGTTTCTGTCCATAACTCGTGACTCCAAAGTAGGGTGAGACAGAGAATGGGACAAGTGTCTCTGTGTCCCTTATATTGTATTCAGTCTTCTGGAATTAGAGCAGTGCCAATCCAATGGACTGATCCAGCCATCACCCACCCTTAATCTCAGCATGCCTAATCCCAGCATTGCACTATGACTCAAATGAACACTCTAGATTTAGCTTCCTCAAGAAAAAAAAAAAAAAAAAAAAAAAACCCATGATCCCATGAGACTTTGGGGTAACATCTGGATACACACTATAACCGTACCAGTTAAAAGTGCTCTTCAGCACCAAGTTGAAATCATTGATGGATTTGTCTGTTCTTGTGTGTAAAACAATACTGGAAAATTCTTGGTAGTCTCAGCTCACATTCCATCTACATTCCAATACATGTTCTGTCTACTTGATGTCAGATTAGGAGCACCTATCCTACTGGTAAGTACTACTGTGTCAATTTTATTGGGAATAGCAGATATTTCCCCCCATTTCTCCTTCCCTAGACTTTTAATATTGTTTTGCTCCTTTAACTTTGTGTGTCCCTTGCTTTTGGATTTCCTTGTGTTATACATCATGCCAAAGTAGGTCTCACTGAGGGTGACACTTGTCTCTGCGAGTCTTTTCACAGGCTCTGTCAATGGGGAATGGTAGGAATTATGCCCTTTAGGGAATGGCTGTCTACACACACATCCATGATAAGTGAAGGGTTTTTTGTTGTTGTTCTTATTGTTTTTAATATTCTTAGTTTGTACTTCTGGAATTAGAAAAGAATGAAGATAGGTTGGGTAACTTTGGTTCATGGGGCTTGTGTTGCTCACTGTTCATCCCTTTAAGAACACTAGGGTTCTGACTTTCTAAGATATCTATGAAGACCAGCCTCCAACCAAGATTTTTCAGTAGATGGATCAGACACAGTGTCTGTAGTGTAAATTTAGAAGTGGGAAGTATCATGGGACACTCAGGATTATTTTACTTACATAAGAAGTGGGAATGCTCAGACCTGAGAGATTCCTTGGGCGGCCCCAGACACAAAGGGAGATACTTCTGGATTTTTGGTCTTTATGACAACAAAATGGGAAGTCCACTCATGTTAGCAGAGTTATAACCAGAAGTTATAGTCAAAAGATACTGTTTAAAGATGATGTCTACCCATATTTTACTGTCTCTTTCAATTTATGTCAGATGTTTCAAACCTGTTTCATAGAGGAATCTGTTTCAATGATCAAATAGCCTAACTTATTTATTTATTATTTATTCATTATTGTTTGAGACAGGATTTTGCTATGCAGTTCAGGCCGGCCTTGAACTCACTTTGTAGCCCAAGCTCGCCTCAAATTTGAAGCAATCTTCCGGCCTCAACCTCCTGAGTGCTGGGATTACAGACACGTTGCACCATGCCTGGCTTAGCCTAATTTAAATATGCAAGTAATTTAGGACATTTACTCAGCGGAAGTAGCTTACATTTCATTTCTTTGTTTAAAATTCTTTCCTCATGAAAAAAAACAAAAATCAGCATTTTAATAGCCCTAATCAAACACCTAATATGAAAGATGGCAATTAATGTCTTCGGTGATTTCTAACAAATCACTCCTCCACCCTTTTCTGGAATGAGGAAAACATGAACCATCCTTAAGGGACACAAGGAGAAGGGTAAGCAAGAGTTTGGAAATGCCGTCCTGTTGTCAAAGGATATGATGACAGTCTGAGTAGACTTCTGGCCCTGAAACTACCTCACTTCTCTGTTTCTGAAAAGCTTCATGCTAGAGATCATGATACCATCATTAAGCATGAGTGGTGTTTATGAACTGACTGCCGGAAAAATCTAAAGGTTAAAAACACGGAGGCAAGAGGATGTCAACTCTAGCATCATAATGGCCCAGGCTTATTTTACTAGCAAACGTTCAACGATAACTTTATAGACACGGAAACAATTGAACAGCCCATTATGTGGCATTCATTAATAACACAACACATAACACACCTGATGTAAGACACGTATGTGCTGCTGGACATTAGTTTTGATTATTACAATTGTTCTGGCTCTGTGTTTCATGGTATTACAATCACAGTTGTTTTCAAGAATTGAAATGTTATTAAGCATCATGGTTCGCTTTTCAAGTAGGTTTTGCCCAGACGTCTCTGGGAAGACTTAAGCCAAACAAAACGGAAGAGACAAGTTTCTCTCTTGTGGTCAGACCTGCCTGGTTTAAGTCAGTCCTTGAAAAGAGGTTCAGTCAAGCGCGTGAGTCAGAATGCCTTGTTGCTGCTTTCTGAAGAGCTGGAAGCGCCCAGCTTTTATGCTTTAATCTTCCTGGTTATGTGCTGTTATAATTCATCCACCTTAAGTGCACTTCAAGTCAAACTGTAAATTACCCCATTCCTTTTCACTACTTCTCACGGCAAGCAAACTCTGGTTTGATGGCAGTGAAAAGATGTTAAGGGGCTGAATGTGGGAGGTTATAAGAAGGCCTGCGTTCGGAGGCCGTAATGGGGACGGTTCTGGGGGAGAATCGGTTGCCTTCACGAAGGACCTAAACGGATGCATGTTCCCTAGTGACACAGTCTCGCTTTGGTTATTTTGCCATATTGTTATTCCTTACCTTTATGGATCTAATTCATGCTGTTAAGTAATGGTCATTTTCTTGTATTATTTTCATATTGAGTATGACATTTCTAAGTCAAGCTCTCGAAGAATGGTTTGCCCCAGCGGTCAGTGCCGCTTGAACTGCGTTTGGATGTCTGTCGGAATTTCATTTCAGTAGAGACTGAAAACAGCCTCCTGCAGTCATCTGGAGGTGGGCCTCAGGCAGCGGTGACGAACCGGGCGACCTCCGCAGCTGGGGCGGTTTCTGTGGTCCGCGGGCGGTGGGCTGGGCGGGGCGCGCGGCTGAGTGCGGCCCCGGCAGGCCTCGAGGGGCAGGGCGAGCTGCTGACCCGCCGCGCGGACCGGGCGGGAGGCGCGGGCCATATAGGTGGCGCCCCGAGGGAGAAGCACTTCGCAGCTGCAAGGGTGGCGGCGAGAGGGAGTGCCCACCTGTTGAGCTCTTAAATGAGGACGGGAAAATAGCAAGGAGGGGCGGATCACCGGTGTCTCGGACTCGCCTGGAGCCCCACCCTCGGCCCGAGGAAAAGCCCCTGGGCGGCGGCAGGTGCTTCAGAGAGGGCGAGAAGGAAGGCGCTCGCCCGGGACTCCCGCGCCGCGGACCCAGCCTGCACCTGCGAACCCCTGCCCGCGCCCCGCCGCGACCTGCCTGTCCCCAACCCCCCTCCGCCCCATGGCGGCGCTCGGGCCCGCGCGCTCCTGGAGCCGAGCCCTCTGCAGGCTGCTCCTGCCGACTCTCACGGTGAGCGCTGCGGCCCGCCGGGCGGAGAGGGGCTCGGACGCCGGGCGGGGGAGCCATGGGGGTGGGGTGGGGTGCCCGTCGGAGCTCGGCTCTGGCCGCGCGGTGGCTGAACGTGGAGTTGGCTGGGGGCGGGGAAGGGCGCACAGGAAGAGCAGCCGGCGGGCCCCGCGGGCCGCAGGGGAGGGCAGGGCGGCTGGACTGGGGCCGCCGCGCAGGTCGGGGAGGCGTGGGCGAGAGCGCGCTTCCAAACCCGTGGCCTCCGGGCGCGCTTCGCGATCGGGGTGCGCGGGGCTGCCCTGCGCCTCTCGCGGGTCCCGTGGTGCGCACCGCCTCGGGCTGGAGCCGGGCTTGGCCGCGGAAAGGGCAGCCCTGGGCAGATGGGGTGAAAGCGAGTGTCCTTGGTTGAAGGAGGGGGCTCTCGCCTTTCGGGAGTCGAACTCGATGCCTGTGGGTGCACGAGGGGGCGTTCACGGAGAGACCCTCGACCCTCAAGTCACGCAGACCAGAGGTGGGCGGCCCTAGGTGATCATTTACATAGTTTCCGTTGTTGACTGGTGCAACTTCTGTCCTCGGAAGTCTTTCGGGGAATGCTAGTCCTGGTACTACCCTTTGTCCCCAGAGGCGCCTAGATCTCCACTTCCAGTTCCTATCCCCCGCCGCACTGTCTTTCCCACTTTAAAGCGCACAACCGTGGCCTCAGTCCTTCCTGGAGTTGGGAGCCAAAGGAGGTGGTGCTGTTGGGGACAGGATGACCCTCCTCCCGCGGAGAACACCAGATCGCACTGGGGCGCCCGGAGGCACAGCAGCCCCTTGCGGGCGGGATGCCCCAAGGGATGTGGGATTTGGAGTGCCCCACCCTGGTCTTTTGGAAGAGGAGGAAAGTTATTTCAAGGAGGTGTAAAAAATGCCCTTTCTGGAGGTGCTGGGTGCCAAGTGAACCCTGAAAGACACCAGCAGGACTCTACGAACCAGAGGGGATGATTTTTTTCTTTTTCCCTTGGGGTTGGGGCAGTGGTGGAACCTGAATCTTCAGATAAC